GCAAATTCGCCCGCAATTTACCGCTGTGCGCTCACATGGTGGAAGTTATCGTTTGCGACACCCACAATGTCCCTACATATGTAATAGAAAAATAACTGCAGCACAGCGATCAATTGACTTCCCGCGTCGAACGAGGTCTTAGTGAGAGACAGAAAACATAAAATAAGCACCCACCTGCCGGGTTTAACTCGGACAAGTCATTATAGCAGATGGGATGACGACAAACGTGCGGACAAGTTGAAACAGAATGACTTTGGTATAATTCTACCGTATTTCTAGGCTTGTTGGCTCTGACAAGTCAATGCATAAGTATACGTTGCTTCTCCATCTGAATATCCACTCAACCTCTGGCGGCAGAGAATTCCATGTGATGGGGGTACAGACGAACTGAGCGTCGATAAATAACCTATGGACCATCCATGAACAATCTGCATTGTCGGCGCGTACATGTGCTTAAATGCTTTGGCTCAGATTATAATCAGGGCTATAAATAATGAAATTAAGACAGAATATAGCCAAAACAGCGCTGTGTCCTGTCACTATGCCTGCCGCTTTTTAATATCTCTAGAGTTATTTCCTAGGTAAGATATGCTAGGATTTAAAGCTCGGCAAGAAAAAAAGGAACACATATGACGATCTTGTCCTTTAAAGAAAAACAACACTTGGTTTAACAATTGTGTGGTTGTAAGAACCTAGAAAACTATGCCTAAAATATAACAGTGAAGTTGTAACTTCATTTCTCACATGCATCTGTTGTTTTCGTACCTGCTCGAGTACTCTGTGACAGCTCATAGAGTTCAGAGAAAATTGCACACACCACGAATGATTGTTCTATTGCCGTCAGTATGTTTTCCAGTGGATTTCCCGCCGGTATCGACTGTTCGACATCCAACCACACCTGATTCGGACAAAGGAGATTGCAGAATTACACAGATGATTACTTTTAATCCACTTTTATTAGCTTGAATTGCTGCACTAATTCCATTTTATAAGTTATGTATCGATGCGGTGTGTAGGAATGCAACCAATTGCTGGAAACTTATGTCCGTAGAAGAACGCAAAAGCATATTTCCTATGGTTTTGTTGGAGACGAAAACCTTTTGCGTCAGGATATGTTTTTTTCAATCCTCAATGGCCTTTTAATCGCGCTATGTTAGTTGCCGAGACAGTATCGTGGGCACCACCCTGAGGCCTAGGAGGATCTTGCAAAAGATCAATTGGCCCCGTAGACAGCATTGCAAACTGCAGCATTAAGTTGCGGAGTTTACCAGATTGCCGTTGTGAAAGTCAGAAAAGTGGCTTTTTAATCTCAAGTGTCGCCTACCAAGCGTCTCAGTGCCCAGGTTCCTCCATCGTGTCCTCGATATCAACCGAAATTCCAGGCAGTGGTCGGTTTCGTCGGACACCTGCGGGCTCAATGTACTACTAGTGCAGCACGTGGTCCCGTTTTGTTTAATTTCTGAGGAAATTAATGCACAAACTTGGGGTATATCCTTTGAAATAAACCATTTAGGATGGGCCTGAAATTTATCATGAGTATTTGATTTGAACTCCATTGGCTACTGTGGAACAGCCGGTTATTATTGACCATTTTCCACCTGACAGTCAGTAGCATTAACTACGGAATCCTTTACCATACTTAGAGCAGTTACTCGTCTACAGTCAAGACACGCGTGATTCGCCAACCTTGTGCCACTAGATGACGCAGTTGTGAGGGGTTTGGTTCGTCAGTAGGTCCCCCAGCATGCCTATGTGTTTTCTGGCATATTAACTCCAGCTTACCCCAGCCCTAATCAATTACCGAGGACATAAATGCACGAGCTGTGTACACTTTCAGACCGACATCTCCATTTGTTCAGCAAACTTTGTCTGCAACTTTTCTTCTGTGACGTTTGCAGTGCAGCCTTTTTCCTGGAACTGCGAATTCCACAGACCCAGCTGGAAGATGTTATTGTAACTATATAAATTGTTTTTGGACGTAGACACGTAAGTTTCTAACAGACAGACTTTGTCCTTAAAAAGTGGTAGTCATCTGGAAGACAACTGCAAACTGTATGAGTGAATCCAGTGGCCGGGTGATAGTTGGTTTCAATCCAGGCGACTTACAGTCCTTCCAAGTGTTTGTGCTGTTTGCCATGAGGGCTGAAGCTGTGTCAGCGCTGGCAGGTTTACCGTCAATAGTGACAGTTAGGTACTTTATATTTTCGCAGTTATGCAAATGTGAATTGTGCCGGGCAATCGCACTATAGGTGTTTTCGGGACTCGATTGTGTTGCGCAACAGTTTGTCGCAGTGTGACCGACCTGAGAACATGCAAACCACCTTCTCCTGTGACAATCTGACACAAGGCGTCTTCCACCACGCTGTCGGCAAGCTGTCGTTGGTTTCCGTAAGAAGCCACAGTTCTCCCTCGGTTTGGTTGCTTCTGTGTCAAACATTCGCAAAGGTTGACTGTTAACATCACCGATCAGACTGGTGTCCTTTTTGATATTCTTGATTTGATATTCATGTTCTGCTAGTTCTTGAACCGTCATCTTGGCTTCTAGTGTAGCTGATTGAGCAAACGTGTGCAGATGTCAGCGTCGTCCGACAGCAATAGTGATTCAATGCTGACTACTGGCCTCTTCTAATGCAGTCTGATACTACGCATAATTTAATAGCCCCGACGGTCAAACTAATCTTCCTAAGGCTGTCTTTTTATGTTACAGCAGTCCAAATGTCAGTTGAGTAGCGACTTTAAGAAATTGGACCAAGATTTCAACTTCTTAACTATATCCTCAAATAAAATAACTGTCGGCTTCTTTACCAAAATGAATTTTACGGGCCGTTCGTATTCACGCTAGCCTAGCCTCAAAAGCAATACTTCAATTTCAGCTTCCTCTTCCGATCGCGAGCATTCCTCCTCAAATAGCAGTGCATACTTTCGGTGCCACATTAAAAACTTTATGCTGCCGTCGAGACTATAAGTTTTTTCTGTGTTCCAGTCCTCGAACCCGTTCGTGTTTTCTTGCCAGCTGGAGTTGAACGTTTTTTGCACTTCTGCAAACAAAGCCGCAAAGCTAGCCTCTTGTACCTGAAACAAAAAGTGTATTGTCGGCTTGTGAACAAAGCTCACCTTATTTATTTGATGTTCTGAATTTTCTGGACTATGCCAGCCTATCGTTTGCAAATCGTAGTGGACGTCCCAGACTATGGCGTGTCGGTCGTTGAATGGCCGTTCCTTGCGTGCTAATCCTCTCGCGGGGGAATCTCGAAGTTTCGATCGGCCGGCGAGGTTCGATGCTGCAGTTCATGCTGATTGGCTAACTGATTTAACAGGTGCATTCTGCAACCAGCTCCTTTGCACCTTACGCTGTGAGTCTACATGTTTTCTGTTCTCCATTTCAGAGGCCTTGTTGTATCTTCCAAAATGGTACGTTTTTCTGTATTCTTACCCTAACCTAGACCGTTGGTTTAATTTAATCCTAGCTTTGACTCCGACCTTTACTAAACATACACCTTGGCCTGACGCTAATTTTTCTCTCCCTGAAACTTTGCATAAGTTCATTTGTATTACAAAGAGTTCTTATTCCCGTGCCTTGCCAGGAGGACCACATAATAAACCTTTAGCCAGAAGATGCT